GAAGGAACATTTCATTTATGAAATCTCGAACAGAACTGAATGATCTAAACATTAGAAATAACAGAAATAGAAAGTATGTACTAATACTTTTATAACAGAGTGTTTGTTATATGCTCCAAAATAATTATATTTAGATGAAGATTTGGGTTTGCCAGAAGTTTGTTATGAAAGTTAAAAATAGATGAATGTGGCAGACTTTGATTCTGGATGCATTGTGAGAAAAAACAGTGAGGATATTTTGTTTCTGATACAACCATATTGATAGCTTTCAATGTTGATTACTATTTATGGATATACGAGGCCTCATTAAGCAAAGGGTAGCTTTGATGCCTGAAGTTTCTCATCAAGTTAATATAGCTTAGCCAGAGGACAAGAGTGGCATAAATTACATTCAGTCTAAATACCACTTAGTTTGAATTAATTTAAGTAACCATTTAATTAGTAATACAACCTATGTTTCTGTATGGAACATAAGCGAATAAAAGCTGTAAGATATTGCTAACTATTGATTATAGAAATTATCATTTGATTTATAAACTTTGCTAATTAAAGAGTATTACATGTTTTAGGTGCTGGGGAACTCAAAACTGAATCTGAAAGATTAAAGCAATGTGGCAATGAATTTTTCTCACCAGGTGAGTCTTTTTTCCATATTGCATCAGCGTGGTAATAATAGTTATGGATGTTTTCTGTTGTAAGACAACATGATTTAGATAGACAACATGATTTAGTAGAAAGATATAGGCACTATCTTGATATTTTCATCTAGTCATACTTTATCGGCTTCTTAATTATGTGAATTCATACAGAACCCCCAGAATAAAAACAAAATCCCATTTAAATATATCTTAGCCAAAAGTGGTGCCTGTTGGCAATGTTTATGCTGTTCTGTTTTCTTATACCAGTGATTTTATTTTCAGAGTTGTGAATTAAAAAAGTTTTTAATTGCATCATTTTTGTTTTGTTCCAGGAATATACCTTTTATGTTTAGGAAAATTTTATATCCTTGTTGTCCCATAATGGAAAAGTTTTAAATATTTTGTTTTTTTAAATTTAGAAATTCCTGAATAGTTTATTTATCAAGATTCCCTTTCAGAAATTGAACTTTAATTTTTTTTAATTAAAAAAATATGTTAATAAGGGTTGGGGAAACAAACAAACAAAAAATATGGGAACTGAAAAAGAAAACCATGCCACTTTTCTATAATTTTTTATTTAATTTTTAAGTTTATGTTGAAAAAATTACAATATGTATTTTAACATATTTTATGAAATATTTTTTAATGTAGGTAAACAGCCTGCTTATGTAACTGCTGACTGAGATTCCAGGCATATTTGTTGTAATTTTAGATTTTCTTTCCAAATTATTCAATATTCTTCTGATATATCATTTTAAATAATTGAATTACTCCAACTTAAAAAGACTGTTGTTCACTTGCACGGTTTGATTGGAGGGAGGGAATATGTCAGATAAGTAGACATACTTTTTCCCCTTTTTAAATTCTTTAATTCTTTCAGTCACTTTTCTTTATAACTAAGAATTCCTTGCAATGGGATTCTCAAACACCATTGACATCTTAAGGGAAATGATTTTATTGCCAGTGAAAAAACTAACATGTCTGTAGATTACTGTGCAAGCATGACTTGCGGGAACATTCCACTAAATGGCATATTATTCTACAGCCTGTTATGTGCTTGCTATAAACTATGTTGTACACTTCAAGGATATTACTGAGCAGGAAATCAAATCCATAAATGTGAGACATCATGCAGGCTATAGCTGCAGATCACATTACTATTGGTTTGTATTTCCTGGGGCTACTGTCCATTTGCCAGAACTAGTAACTTGTAGACCATTATCCATGAATTTGAGATAACTTCAGAATGGAGTTGCAGATCACTCTGCTGCTGGTATGGCTTTCATTTCATGTGACTGCTCAATGTTTACCAGAGCTAGCACACTGGCATTTGTTGGCTGTTAGCTGTGAAATCTTTGGCAGTTTTAGAATGTTGTGTTGCAGATACATTTGCTGCAGGTATGGTATGGTTGTGGTTACCCTTATTTGCCATAATTAGTACTTTGGCATTTTTAGGTTTAGTGGAGTTCATGTTAAAAGAGCAGCAGCATGTAATGTCTCTACTGTTTTGGTTGTGGTTACCCTTATTTGCCAGAATTAGTACTTAGGCATTTTTAGGTTTAGAGGAGTTCATGTTAAAAGAGCAGCAGCATGTAATGTCTCCACTGTTTTGGTTATTTAGTGCATGGAAGTTTGTGTCAAGTAGGATTATAATAATACAGAAATACAGGTCAAATAATGCAGGAAATCAGCCGATTACAAAATTTAATATGTTCCATAATTACAAAAAGAAAATTGCGAATAAAATGTCATTGTAAAGAAAAAATGTATTTTCCCCCCACAAGTGTTCAATATGACTTTCTTTAGTCACCTGTATATAATCAATGCGATATGCCATTTCTTGCCAGACATGCTGTGATGTTTCACTAGAAACTGTAAAGCATTACAAATGTGTTGTTTAAGTTAGGGCAAACTTCTAGGCCAAGGTGGTATGAACACAAGATCTTGTTGAAAAATTAAGTTTTGCATATCTTCCTTCAACTGAGGGGAAAGCCTAATTTCCAGTATATAAAGTAGGTGAGGTACGTGTGAGTAACACCTGCCTTTTGAAAACATTACCTAGAAAGACAGCAATTGTAATTGAGATCGGCATATACCATTAAAAATGAGATTTAATCAAGAAAAGTAACATAGTTAGATACATTATAATGGCTTAAGATAGAGCACAGTCCCAACACAGACACAGATGCCGAAGTTTACATATTCCAGTGAAGGTGCAAGACTGAAGTGTAACTATCCCGGTGCAGGCATAGACTAAACTGCCCTGGAAAACTTGTTTATCTCCATCAGCCTGTAGGGTTGCCAAACAGGTTTACTTTCTTTCGCCAATTGGCTGTTTTCTCTAGAGTTTTTTTAGTCTGTATTACCTGTTTGGCCCTGCCGCAGCATACTCCCTCCGCAATGTCAACGAAATGTTACATACGGATGTGGGGGGTCAGATTAATCGTCTTGTAAATGAGGAATAGGATATCTGTCAGGTTTGGTGCACGCATTTAATTCTTGGTAGTCTCCTACTGGCCGTATGTCATTCTAACTTTTAGAAATGATATAAAGAGGTGATGACTATGCTGATTTTGATGGTCTACAAATACCTTGATCCATCATAAATTGGAATTCCTTTTTTTACTGCTTCCTATAACTTAGGGCTTTACCTACGGGGTTTACTATGAACAGGAGGACCGTTTGTTTCGATGTAATGAACCGTACTCTGCTTTACTCTGCCCAAATCAGATTTTAACTTCAATAAGTCTGAAAATTCTTTCAAGATTCTTTGATACGGTGAATCACCTGATATTAACTTTACCGAAAAATAATTTTCAGAATCGGAAAGAGAACCAATTCGAGTTAATTTCACAGTACGGTAAAAGTCCAGAAATCTGCAAAGCCTGGGACCAGGGTTACAGATTTAGGATTTGCGGATTCAGGAAGAAGATAAATCTATAGTCGACTAAAGTGCAAAATAAATAAGCATTTAGAGCATTTATTAAATTATTCTGACATTGCATACTTATTAATGCATTAAATTATTACTACATATATAAATTGATTATATTATTCATTGTATTTTATGTACACAGCATCAACGTTTGCCGATTTCGCCTCATGCAAAGATTTCCGGTTTGGGATTTCGTTGTTAGAATCACCGTTGCTGTAAAATTTCAACAGCTTTTATTTATTTTTCCATATATCGTACACAATCGTGTCGAGGAGTAGCACCTGCCTCCATCTTTTGCGGAATTTGCACTTTTTGCATTACTGTCAATGCAGCGTGTTTACATTTTTCAACGCTGCAAGCAGCAAAATCATGAGTGCGTTTCTTATGTGTAATTGTATTAAAAAGGGTTGAAATTTAAAATATTCTTAATTTAATTACAAAATATCAGGATTAAAAAAAAAATGGCAGCACTAAATAATCTCGTGAAATAACAAAGCTCAGAAAATACAACAACGTGAATCGTGAACTTGAAGGAAGAGTTGAGTGAATTGTCTGCTTTTTTACCTCGATGCAGATTAGAGGGGAAATTTTTTTTATCATGATGTCAATAATTTGGTATTTCCGTTATGACTCATTATTATTCGGTAAGTATTTTTTCGTTGATATTTCGTACTCAGTGTCGCAGTTTCCGGAACTTATAAACATTCTGTTTATATTTTGAGAGGCAAAGCGAATTTCAGTTCGGTGGATTTTGGGTATTTGACTGTAATATTCATGAGCTTACCTTGTTTTAAATTGATTAAAAGATCAAAATGTCTCGAAAAATCGGCTCCTATTATAGGCACTGGTATGTTGGCGATTAAAAACTTCCAAGAAAAGTTTTGTCCGAGTTCTAAATTCACGTTTAATAATTTTGTACTGTACGTAGAAATTCTGGAAATATTTGTACCAAGTAATTGTAGCAAATCAGGATGCATTTTCGTAAACTTAGAAGTCGGTAGCGCACATGAAACATCCGAACCCAAATCGATCAAAAATTTTTTATTTAATCTGTTATTATAGACATGTAAACGACATGCTTTTCAGAGCATCATATTTTTACAACACGGAGGAATTAAATAAAATATATGATAACGCGGAAAGAGTTTCAGGGTCTGTGGAAGAAATCGCATGGTTATATTTCGTAATATCATTACTAATCTTCGCTAGAGCAAAGTTACCTTTGACTTGAATAAAACACGTGACAGTTGGTTTAACATTTTTTCCATAAATGAGGAGTTTTAACTGTCACATGTGCGATTTGTGGCTCCTGAACCGCCACATTAGATTCATTGTTGGTTTGGCCTTCCGATGTTGACATGGTTAGCAATTATAAATATATCATAGATCGTCAACTTAATGTTTTGCACCATGCTTTAAGACTTATGTATCATATCAGAATAGTCAATATCTCAATAAAATTATGAGCACTAATATTACACAAAAGCCAATTTTAAACAATGAATAATTTAAGTTTAAATTAAAACTTATTTTAGAACAAAACACATTACAAAAATATATTAAGACCAATCAGAGATAGGAAGAAAAAAATTTGACCACATACCTGTAAATCGTTCTTAACAGTGAGTTAAACCATGTGTAAGCCATATGATAAAATAGGAAGGAAATAAATAGGATATTACTGAAAACATTACCTAGAAAGATAGCAATCGTAATTGAGATAGGCATATACCAATAATAATGAGATTTAATCAGAAAAAGTAAGATAGTTAGGATGCCGAAGTTTACATATTCTAGTGAAGGCACAAGACCAAAGTGTAACCAAAGAATGTGTATGTAAAGAAGGAAAGGTTCCATAGACATAATATAAACCAGGTTGCTATTACACCGCTGGGAATAGGAAGGAAAATTCGCCAAGGGATTTGGTGACGGAACCTGGTGGCGAGAAATTCCCCTTCCGCGATGTGTACAGGAAATTGAGGAGCACGTATTAAGTTTGACAAAACGTTTCTTCTCTGACTTTTCATGATATTTTAAACTTGGATTTTCACACTTTTTTTTT